GTGAGAGATGATAATTCCGAGCACTTGAGGGAGTCGATACGTGAGGACCAACACTTGAGGTTGTAGCTTGTGTATGTACTTTGTGAGGTTTTGTGGGAGTTTTCGGTTGACTTGATAACCGAGTGTGTAGAGTTTTCGGTTAGCTAGAAAACCGAGTGTGTAGAGAAGTTCCGGCTTTCAAACCGGGTTATGTAGTGGATTCTCCCCGGAAGTGGGGAGCGGAGACGTAGGACGGAAGGTCCGAACTCCGTGATCATTTCCTTGTGTTAGGGTTTGGCATTGGCGCATTTATTCTTGCATATTGTTATATCGTCATTGTTGCATGATCATATTGTTTACCCTTGTTTATATTGTATATCCTTGCACATATCTTGTAGCATATCATACTTTCTAGGATATATTTGTTAAGTAGTTTTAATTAGCATAAAATCGGATTAGATTAGCATAAACCCTATTCACCCCCCTATGGTTATTTCATAGCGACCTTAGGGTCTAACACATGGGTGGACGAAGACTTGGAGGGGGAGAGGAATGAGAGAGCAGAGGGTCCATGGTTAGTCTTAGACAACAAATGGGGTCTTTAAAATTCTTGGAAGGCGAGGGGGATCTTTACCAGTCGACGACTGCGAGGGGGTCTTTATCGGTGGTCAAAAGTGAGGGAGATCTTTACCAGTCAACGATGGTGGAGGGAGGGGTCTTTAACGGTGGTCGAAGGCGAGGGAGATCTTTACCAGTCAACGACGGAGAGAGAGGGTCTTTAACCAATCGACGATGGTGGGGGGAGGGGTCTTTAACGGTGGTCGAAGGCGAGGGAGATCTTTACCAGTCAACGACGGAGAGAGAGGGTCTTTAACGGTGGTCGAATGCAAGTCTTGTCACTCGTCGTTCGTCGGCACAAGTTCTTGGTCTTGTAGCGGCGTAGGATGACGGTGAACAACTTCAAATTCATCGTCTTTTCTTAATGAAGTTAGGGAATCTAGGTTCGTCGTTGATTTTTCATCCATTTTCTGCTGATTGTGACAAAACCCTAGAGTGAGATTGAGTGGAGATTTGGGGATTTCGCCGGATACTGTTAACCATAGAGAGAGATAGTGTGCGGGAGGGAGAGAGAGGAGAGAGAGAGACTTGATTTGAGTTAGAGAGTGGGCGGGAGCGGTTACCAAAATCGAGGCACTGTAGCGATAACTAATTAGGGTTAGAATAGGGTTTTAAAAATTCTCTCAAGTTGCTGAGTTGGCGGGGCTGAAACGAAATTTTACAATGTATTTTGGGTTTATACACATGAGCAAAAGTATAGGGGGCTGGTGCACATGACTTTTTAGATTTGGGGCCTTGAAGCAATTTTTCCATAATATTATACTAGAGTTATTATAAATTTTTAGTTTTTTGTCTTTTTTATTTTAAGTCTATCGATAATTAAGATCTCTTGCAGTCTGGGTAGAAAGTATGTGTTTTGAGCTTATACAAACTAAGTATTTTTTTAATTTTATAACAATATCTTCCTCAAGTAAAGCTCTCTTCTTAGAAATTTTTGTGATGCCTCTATTTTCACACATAGTTGTAGTCCAATGTAAACCTAGAGATGTCAAACCTGCTATGCACCCACACCGTGCAATGACATATTTCACCAATCACAGTAATATCCTCTAGTGGAATCAATAATAAAGTGCAGGTACAATACAGGTAAAAAGAAGATAGTAAACACAATAGACATGATGTAGAAAGATAAATCTCATAAATGAACTCATGTCTCAACCGACAAGTCTGAAATACATCTGATAACTGAAAGAAAAATGTCTCATCACAAACTAAATAGGAATCGTACTAAGGCTCACAACCTTTACAATAAGAAAATAAACCCTAATGTCTAAATATAAAAGCCAACCACAGTGGAGTCTCACTACTAAAACTGAACGACGGTGACTATGCTGGAAGACCGTCAACCTGCTGCTTTCCGAAGCTCTGAACCGCCTGAAAAGAAAATTGAAATAAAAAGAGCAACAACAAAAGCATCAGAGCGCTAAAGCAAGATCACCTTCATCCGCCCCCAAGGGAAGGGCTGCTAGATGTAGTGGGGGCTCTATCTATTAAGCATAGCCTACCTACATTATTTTCCCCGTATCTAATGATATTAATACCTAGAAATCTATAACACGAGACGTAGTACGTCGAGTGAAATAATCCAAACAAGGAAACTCTCATGTATATACCATATGTCTCAGACTGTAGATACCTAAATATCAATACCGAACTATGGAAAGAAATATCATTAGAAAATGAAACATCATAATGGACATCAACATATAATTCTCATGTACTCATAAGAGTAAAGTATCTCGGTCATATATATATATATATATATATATATATTCAGCAGAGTGACATAAACACTTTTGGTATCCACTACAACTTAGACTATCAAATAATCGTTTCATTTCAACTCTTTGCAAGATTTGATTTCATCGCATTATCATGCACCACTGACTACCCTGTAGGTATTCTAAAACAATATACATGGCTCATTAGTCTCATCGTGATCTCAGTGCGTAACATGAGTGTGAGACGTTCTACATAGGTATCCTGGAAGACGGCTCACAAGCCTCATCGCACCCTCTTGCGGAATGGACTGCTAGACAAAATATCCAAACCCGACTCAATGGCCTGTACAAATAGAATATCGATGCACTACCCCCACATAGTACTAAGCTGAGCCCATCAATGATATCCATCACATGTATAAACTGTATAAATCTGGCATATCGACGCACTATCTCATATAGTACCGTGCTGAGCCCATTAACGATATCCGACATATGAATAAACTGTATAAATCTGACATATCGACGCACTATCTCATATAGTACTGAGTTGAGACCATTAACGATATCTGACATATGTTTAAACGACTCCAACTCAAGTGAAATCATTCAACACTTGTCAAATCTCCTTTGGGATACTCATGTGTGTGCCACGGTACTATTCATGTATATTCATGTCTATACGTATACTATCGTGCAACTCGAACCCCGCGTTCGCACCTCAAAACAATGCAACAAAAAGTTTAGGAAAAAGTCTTAGTAGCCGACTACTAACCTTAGTAGTCGACTACACCGAGTCCATCCAGACTCTGTAAAACTTGAATCAATATTAGTAGTCGACTATACTGTACACTAGTCAACTACTCTGAAATCAGACAGATTCTGTAAAAACCAAATTGGACGTTAGCAGTCGACTACTACTCTTAGTAGTCGACTACTAAGCAGGAACATGCACACATCCGTGCACAAACATTAATTATTTGTCGATTTCACACACCATAAAATAAAAATGAAAGCTTGAACTTGTTTTATGTAGCATAGCTATCTGAAACATGATACTAAATATTTAAATCCTTCAAATTAGGGTTTAACCATCTAATTAACTATTTTCCTCATTTAGGTCTTATATAAACCATATGATTTATCCACACATGATAAAAACTGCTCCTGAACAGCTGTTAAATTTCATATAAAAATATTTATCTCATTTAGGTATTACCAACCTAGGGTTTCAACATGATTAATTAACAAGAAACCTCAAATAAAGGTTGAACTAGGGTTTAAACATGTCCTAAGCATGATTTATATGTCAAAAACGAAATTAGAAACAACCCTAGTGATCATGATCAACTTTCTATCATAAACAACAAGAACACCATGTAGATCTTACATTTGTTTACCATTAATATCAAAATTCTAGTCTTTTTCACATTAGATTAAGATCTAAACATGTACAACATCGATTTAAACATCTTAGATCATTCATTAACTAAGGGTGCAGGTTTGGATGCAAGTGATCTTGCCTGAAACATCGTGTCGAGCCTCTGAACACGTGCACAAGATCCCTCCTCTCTCAAAAGCATGCGATCTCACCCTCCGCTCAATGATTTCCCTCGAATCTCCTCGAGAAACGCCAAGAACAAGCTCTAGGGTTTGAGGGGAGGTGGTGGCTGGTAATTCACGTGGAAAATCTCAGGAAAAATGGTCTAAACATGTTTATATACTTAAGGTTAAACTTGGGTTCGAATATAAACCAAAACCGACCCAAAACCCATAAGAAAACTGGAAATCAGCCCGATTAGTCGACTACTAATATTAGTAGTCGACTACTAAGACTCAAATCAGTCTGTTTGGGAAAAAATCTTTCGTAATTTGACTATAACTTTCACATTCGACCTCAGAATGAGGTGATCAAAGATTTGTTAGAAAACTGATGAAGAGACCTACAACTTTTATTTTTAAGTTTTCCCAGATTCTAACTGTATTAGTGTGAAAAACATATAAACTCGTAATTGGTCATTATTTTTCAGATTTCTTATTCGTGCACGTTTTGTGCATTTGCACTCATATATCCACACATATACATTGAATAGATCTCAAATCAATTCCTAGCATACTCAAACATCAAAATATGCTATTTATCACCATATAACATATTTATTATTATTTATCACATAATATTTAAATTATCGGGGTTTTACAATTTTTTTACAGATCAACAAAAGATTATTGTATTTTTTCTTCATATTTAACCACACATTTAATGACTAAGATAAACAAACTGGGGATTGATGATCCGATAAATAAATATATGACATAAAGTTTGATATGTACAAATTAAAAAAAGTGATGTTGTGTACCCAAGTATATAAAAATATATTGATCCTAGTTTAGCACACAAACCCATTTCATTAAAACTTTTAGAATACTTAAATAAAAATTATGACAAATCTAATAATCCAAGTTTAAAGATTTTAACTCAAAATGAATCTGACCGATTTACAGTAAGAAAATAAAATAAAAATTAAATAATTTTGATATTTAACCACATACATTGCAGGACGTGCATAAAACCGAGTACATGTAAAAAGTAAAGATGTTATCCATATAAAAAGCTTAAAAAATATATACAAATAACCAAACCAAAAAATAATTTCGACTACAGCTATGCAATTTTTTCCCCCGGTGTCCGCCCAGCGCTACAAACCCCAAAATGTTTAAAAGCCAAATCCCCAAAACCTAAAACCCTAATAATATGTCCCGTATCTCCTCCAGCCTCGAACTCCTCTCTTCAAAATCCCCCCTCCTCAAAAACCTCCCCTTCTCCTATCCCTCCTCTCTCTTCTCCAACCCTAGATTCCCATTAAGCCCCATCCTCTCCCAATTCGCAGTTCTCTCCTCATACAATCAAAGGCGAAGTGGCAGCAGTTCTCAGGACCTCGAGATGGAAGAGAATAAGAAGAAGAAGGAGGGGATGGTCGGTTTCAATAAGAGAAGGGCGGAGGGGAGAGAAGCTGGTGAAAAGCGCAAGACTTTGCAGCATAAGACTCCGAGGCTGAATCCTATCAACACTATTTGCTATGTTCAGGTGATTATTTGGGATTTTTTAGGGTTTTGTTTGGGTGATTTGAGTTTATATGTTCAGGTGAAGATTTGGGCGTTTCATGATCCTTTCATGTTAGGGGGGATTATCCTCAATATTACTGCTTGTTGCACTGTTGACTTTTTTTGTTATTAACTTAAACGGAACTTAAAATTCTTTTTGCTCGATTTCATTTTCGACTGGTATTTTGTATTTTCTCAGTTTTCACGCTGATATTTTTGTTTGAGAACTTAAAGCGCAAGACTTTGATGCTGAATTGAATCAATACTATTTGTTATGTTCAGGTTAGGATTTGGAAGTTTTATTGTCTTCTTGTGTGATTTTAGCTTATGTGTCGACTTCTTTATGGCCAGTGTGTACTGAAGTTGGGTTTTGATCTGATTTTTCTGGAAAAATTTGGTTTCTTGAGGGGAAGTTTGCACATTTCCCCTGGGGTTATTCTCGAATTTGTTTTCCTTTTTTCTGTTCTGTGTGGGTCTTCTTTCTTTGTTATGGGCTTTTTGAACTGGGATAGTGGTTATCGTAAACACACACACACACAAGCACACGCTCACACAAGTAGCCTCTGGTGGCAAATATCTTTTCAAGCTGTTGTGTATAGGGGTGTTAACGGAGCGGATACGGCTCGGATATGGCACTTACCATATCCATATCCGTTTACCCGTCTCGGATACGGATACGGATATACGTCGGTAAGAAAAATTCATATCCATATCCGCCAAAATCGGATACGGTTACGGATATAGATACGGATATATAAACGGATATGCATGCAGATACAAAAAGGATATGAAAAAACTAGACAGTATTCAGAAAAATATAATCATGTGATACAAAAAGAGTTCGTTAATATGTTCATTATGATTGAAAAGCTAAGATTAGACATCTTGATCATCAAAATTAACCACAAATACATAATCTAAGAATCAAAACTATCGTAAGAGTATTACCAATATGTATTCGGATATTTTCGGATACGGATACGGATATTTCACTAAAAAACCATATCCGCAACCATATCCTATCGGTAATAGATTTGAGTAACCATATCCGTATCCTAACGGATACGGTTACGGATATTTCCTCGGATACAGATACGGTTTGGCACCCTTAGTTGTGTATCCTTCAAAGATGGCAACTTGCTTAGAGCTTAATGAAGAGGAAATGGTAGATATAGCTGGACCTAGTGTAAAAAGGTCTGATCATTTGTTTTATTTTTTAAAGAATAATTTGCACTGGCTAGGAAGTTTACATTGAAAAAGTCATATAACTAGTTTCTTTATGTTTTAATCTTTATATCATTCTTTAATTTTCTAAAGGTTTGCTTTCTTCTCCCCCTGGTCATTTTCGCTCAGTAATTCACATATGCATTGTTGACAGTTTTATTACCTTAGGTTGTTAGCAAGGGAACTAAAACATAAAGTCATTCAAAGTGATTCTGTTGTGACCAGTTATTCTTTCTCAGTATCCAGGCTGACATTTTTCTCTTTTTCCCTGAGCCGTGTTTGTAGATTTTGGGGACTGGAATGGACACGCAGGATACCTCACCATCAGTTTTGCTATTCTTCGACAAGCAGAGATTTATATTCAATGCTGGGGAGGTATGAGTTTTACCAAGTAATACATCCAAATCTCGGTCATCCTTGCATGATCATTTATTCTTTATGCGCTTCAGTAATCCAAGGGTGAAAAAGTATGGGTTTCCTTTAGTATCCCTCCTTTATATATAATGAGAAAGGCTAAAAGACTAATTTGATCCCTATACAAGAGCCTCATACTCAAATTGGTCCTCTCAGTTTTTTTCTCTCAACTTGGTCCTTGTACCCTCTGTTAGATGTAAAGTTAATCCTTTTTTAATTCTTGGTTAAAAATACAATTAAAAAAATATTGAAGACAATTTTACCCTTAAAATACCAGTAATCTCATTACCGTTCCCTAAAAGCTTGTATATCCAAAAGAAAAAAAAGAAAAAGAACTGATTACATACAACGAAAAACGCCTAAACCATGGTCATTGCTATGAAACGTCTCATGGCTTGGATCATTTTTTTGAATGAAATAGCTTGAACTAAAATGTGATTTGGCAAAGAACTTTTCTGAAATTTATTTTCTTGGTGGCTATCTGATGATGCCTTGTTTATGTGTTTGATAATGAGTTATGGATAGAATATTTGGTTTTAAAATTTTTTATATACTCAGTAGGAAATATCTATTTCTTGTAAAATGTAGGCGTTTTATCGTATACAGCGAACAATTTGTTATCCTCTGCTTGTTTTGAAGCTGCATAAGGCCAAAAGTCTCACAAATTGAATAGTATAGTTTAAGTCTGTAACATCCCTAAAGGGGAAAATACACTAAACCCCCAAGAACTTTAAGCATTTTGTAGTAAATCCCCAATAAATTTCAAAGTTGCATTGAAACCCCAATAGCTTTTAAAATTGTGAAAAACACCCCAATAAACTTCCATGTCTTGCAGATAAACCCCATAAATTAGATCAAAAGCCAACATAAAGCATTTTGAAAGTTATTGGGAGTTTAGTATAAGTTACCCAAAAGATATTTGGTTTTTTTTGCAAAAGTTATTGGGGGTTTAGGTGCAATTTTGAAAGTTATTGGGGGTTTACTACAGAACAACAAAAGTTCTTAGGGGTTCTGTATAATTTGGGCCATTCTTAAAATTTGGTTTTTAGTCGTAGGTGGGGTATTTTAGTTCACATGATTTTTCGATCCGTGACGATTTTAGAACATGTGATGAATGATTCAGTCCATCATATACAAATGTGAATGTGTATCTATGTGTAAGCTCTTACTTTTTATATATACAACAATGAATTTTTACATGAATTTTGCTTGATGGCAAAAGAAAATTAATAAAGTACAGGGGCTTCTCAAGTCTTTAAGGGTAATATAGTTGTAAACAAAAAGTTAACACTCAATATTTAATGGATGTCAAAAAGGAATTAGTTTGTAATGGAGGTGTGGTACAGGGACTGAGTTGAGGAAAAAAAGTACGGGGACTAGCCCCAATACAAGGACCAAATTGGTCTTTTGGCCAATGAGAAATTGGTTGTATTCCTAAAGGCACAAAAAACTATCGTGTGCCATATGAGAAGGTGACATGCAAACACATAATACTATACTAGTTCTTTACCTGTGCTATGCACGGAATTTAGCATCAAATTTTTTTTCAATGAAAATAACGAAATACTATAATTTAAACAATAGTTTTATCATATTAAAAGTTCTACTATAAATTAGGAAAAAGAGTTATTTGTACTGAAATACCCCATGTTTAATCTATTTTTAATTTAAAAGTTTTCTTTTGTCCAAAATATACCCAAAAGTTTACCTTATTAACTATGACAGCCAAATTATTCTTTTTGCCCAAAAAAATACCCCAAAGTTCATAATTTAACTTTAGAACCCAATTTAAACTTTGGAACACAATTTAGCAAAAAATTGACTTTGATACCTCTTACTCAAAAATTCTGACAAAATTTTGGTGTTAATGTGAAAATAATCTACCAAAATTCCTTTAAGAAATGAGAGAGTAGCCTTGTTGAGAACTCTTATATAGGAGATACATGACCTCCCTTCCTATCATCTAAGAGGTAGATGTGACATCCATATTTTAGGTTACGTATGCTCAACATAAGCATTCAATCAAAAAGCATGAATAGAACAATTTTATCAAAAATAAATCAAATTTAAAATTTAGCATTTATTTCTTATTCAAAACACATCAAAACCATAATAATACACTTTAAAAGAATTCAAAAGTAATGCTTAAAAATTTTCAGAACAACAATACTAATTAAAATTTTATATTCAATGTAACTATTGAATTTATCTTTTATTCGACAACGCAACATCAAGAAACTCTCCTCCAAGCTTTAATATTGCAGGCGCATCTAAAGCTCTTTTTCTAGGGGCATGCGACAATTTCTAAAGCAAGCTTCACCCACATTGTCATAATAAACACTGGTTCCTGCAATGAATAATAAGAAAACTAAGAATTAAGATCTTAAAGCATCTAATTAACAAATAGTTATATGTATATAAGTAATTTATTTTAGAATTAATATACTTATTATTATTTAGTCAATATTTGAGTGGGTTGTTAAGACATATTCATAGGTTTCCTCTTCTCAATGGCTACATGCAATGAACACTTTATATCTCAGACGTGCATCTTAGTCCTGATTCTAAAAGACGCTTCTATAAACGAAAAAATTAAACCTATATGTTTAGTGGTTATTTAGATCTAAAGTTGCATGTGAACAATCATAGATTATTGATGCGAAACGCGTAAGGGTTTATCGAAATCAGCGATCTAAATCGAACAACGCACCGCTTCGCCAAAAATCATGATCTTCGGCAGAAAATTAATTTTAGAACAATTAATGTGACAAATAGATTTAAACAAGATTTGCATTAACAATCATGAACAATTCCAATCTCGATCAATTTAATCGCAATATTCATTATCGTTGCACAAGTTCTTCAATCAATAACAAAATTAAGCAGTCACATGTTCAGTTACTCACAACTCACAAATTTAAGTTAAGCAGTGAATGTATGATAAGAATTTAGAGATGTAATACTCATGTAATTAACTAATAAATTAAAATTAACAAAAAAATACTGAGTCGAAAGAAAATAATACCGTCGTCGTACTGAACAAGCCTTGAATCAAATACGATGCACTAACGGGTCTGTTGCCACTGCGGGTCGGATCTGAACTGAAATCAGATCCAAATCGAACAGGACGGGCCTGGTTTAAAGAAGCATATCCGAAAGACTTCTCTGAGTTGTCTTCGTTCAGAGGAAAAAAGGGTGCGACGGAGGACGCGACGACGGAGGAACTGGATAGCGGCGCTACTGAGGGCGGAGTGCTATTGGATAACGCATGCAGTTATGAAGACGATGAAAGCAGCGACGTCGTTTGGGCAACGACAAAGGCGACGGCTTCGGGCAGAGCGACAACGAGGGCGGTAGGGGAAACACGAGTGGGCGTCGAAGGCTGATGATGCGACGACTGCTGGAGGAGGAGATGAAGGTGCAGGCGGCTAGGGTTCAACAGGTTAGGGCTGTTCGAAGATGAGGAAGACGAGGATTTGGACGAGCGGATCAGAGGTGGAGGAATGAAAGGGGCGGCGGCGATCTCGTTGGCTGAGGACGACATCGAGGCTAGCTGAGGAGGAGCAGGGAACAGGGAGCGTGGAGCAGCTGGTTAGGGCTTGGGTCACTGACGAACATGGGAGGTGGAGCTGGTGGCGGTCTCGCGGGTGAGGGAAATAGCAGCGTGGTTGTTGTGAGGAGCAATGGGGAGGGAGAGAGAGATGGGGTCGGGGCTTGGGTGGCTCACGTGAGAGGAGGGAGAGGATAAACGAGAGGATGTTGGGGTTGGTTGGAGAAGAAGAGCAGATGGTGTTTGTGGAGGTTGCTGGAAGAAGAAGAGAGGGAGCATGTGGGTTTGTGGTGGCTGAAGGAAAGAAAAAAAAGAAACAAGAGTATGGCTTAGGGTTTCACACCAATGGTTTCACACCAAACAAGTTTAGCCAACACAAATTTCTTCATTCAATTCAATATCCTTCAATCTGATTACAATTGTGCTTAAATAGAGAAAAGAAAATCTCATAAAATAAATTCTCACACAATCAAATCCCTCACAATCAATAACTACCAAATCTAAACCTAATTTGAAATTCAAATCTAAACTAAAATTCAAAATTTAAAATTCAAAATTGACTACTAAAACTGACATAATTAAAATTCAAATAACAAATATGAGAATTGGCTTTATTGTTCTCATCATTCTCCCCGGGTGGGAGAAAACTCGACTCCGTCGAGTTAGCTGCAGAAGCGTGCTATCTTCAATATAGTCTGTCTGCATCTTAATCTGTCGTCAATTATTTTTTTGCATCTCAAATCATTAGCTAGATTACATTGTAAATTCACCATCTAAGATATTATCAAAATTCACTGCAGCTTGGGTGAATATATAGAAGTGGGGCAAGGTGAAAGAACTCTCAGAAATAATAGGTTAGGGTCAGGCTTATATCAGTGGGCTGCCAATAACATTGTGAACTGTTTAATCACTCAATATTGAGAATAGAACTATGACCAAATCGATAATATAAATGTTGCTATTAATTAGTTTAAGAGTTGGAAAAGTTCATAAATATCATGTCAAATCTTAAACAACTATAAATATACTGTATTGGACAAGTCCAAACCATCTAAAATATCAGCATTAACAGTTTTAAATTATGTCCTGACTTAATATCATACATTTCATACGATGTATTCATTCAAATTAGATCACTGATTCCTAATATATGATCAATGCAAATTAAAACAAAATGATGCAAGTCAACTCAAATGATTATGTATGAAATGTAGACTCGAACAAAGCGATCAATGGCAGATATAATTTAACAAAGTGTTTAACATGCATGGCGTCCTCTATCAAATGGAATAATCAGGCGTTCCTTCGTTAATATGAATAACAAATTTTCTCTTTTAACGGTGATAGTGAGGAACATGCAAACAAATGTATGAAGGAGTGTTTTTGTGCGCTTAATATGTGAGAAAAAAGA